TGTGTGTGTGTGTGAGTAGGTGAGTGTGTGCGTACATGTGGTGAAACACCAAACCAATGTGCCAGCATCTGGACAATAAAGATTTATCTCATCTTATCCTATTTTTATCTTATGACTATTATCTGTTCAAAGAAGTATATCATTATTTCTCTTCGCAGGTGGGTGGTTGCAGCATGTCACAGATAAGTCCTACAACATTTGTGAGGCATCGTGGTTAAAATCAGGCGCTCGTCAAAAGAATAAAGTAGAAGAAAAGGGTATTTTTCCACCAGTTTGGCAATTTTTATCAAAAATTTGTTTTTTGGATGAACACCTTCTATGTTCATATGAAAACACATTTCCAAATGAATTTTCCTGAAAAACTTTGTTTAAAGACCCAAAATAAGTTATTTTTAGTTTTCAAAGACTCTTAAGCTATTGAAGTTTCCAAACTTTGGCAGCCATTATCTCATTAATTTAACCACAGAAACCAGACTACTCCACCTTCTTCAATCGCAAATATCTCGACTTCTATTCAAGCTAGATGGATATTTTTGTCATTGAAATCAAGGCAAATGAATAAGCTTTCAGATGATATCAATAACTCCACAAGCCCAAAAATTGCCGAGCGCCTGATTCCACTACGTCATGACACATTTGTTTCCCTCTGCTGTTTCTGTCTGTCCTTCCCCTTTGTCCCAACACAAAATGACTTTCGCTGTGTCAAACTACATGACTGCCACCAGTGCTGTATTAAAAGAGCTTGTACTTACTTAAACGAACTATTCTCTTTTCAGTACTGACGCCACTGGTATCTTTTAAAAAATCTATAAAATTCACTCAATAGTTTTCTTGTCTTTAATTTCTTTTCTACACAAAGCCCGCTGAGTTCAGAAATTCATAACCCAAAACACTTTTTATCCCACAATTTTCTAAAGATCTACACTCAATGCTCCTTCCTTTCATCTTTCTTAAGGCCACCTTGACTTTTCCATTTAGATCTAGTAGGCTACCCCAAAAAGCAATCCCGATTTTAGCAAATCGAGCTTTGCAAAAAAAAAGCAAAATTTGACACACACAGGCTTACACACACACACACACACACACACACATACACACACACACACACACACACATACACACACACACATATGTCTGTTCATATATACCCATAGAAATACATAAAAAGCAACCCTGCTATTCAGATTCAACCCAGGCAGTGTGGGTCACAGCACTAAAGAAGACAGAGAGAGATCATAGATAAAATGGCTTTTCCATGTGGAAGTTGAACATACATCTTCTGCATACAATAGCAAAGAGCCTCAAGACTAAACCACATATGCTGTTATCTCATGATATATAATCACTCAAACACACTAACAGACACACACACACAAGACACCTACTGTATTACGTAAACACATCCCACAGCCAAAGTTGTCTGCAAAATGAATTCAATAAGGGCTTTTTGAATAAAGAGAAGCGCATCAACACAAAATCGGCTACTCAGAGGAGAGGAAAGAGGAGGCCCACAGAAAAAATGGGGGGAAAGAAACGTAAAGGTGCTCTCCAACAACCACCTCAAATAGAGCTTAACAAAAGATTCAGCAAACCATCACACATACAGGCACAATGCACACAAAGAGAAAGTAAATGAGGCAACTACAGAGGAGTCCACTTAAACGAAACACTTTTGATTCGAAAACAGCAGTAAATAGAGAGAAAGTTAAATCCCAGATTTTTTTTCTCCTCCTACTACTTGAGCAACCTCTCTGACCGGAAACCCTGCTAAACCAAAGAAAATTCAGCAGTCCTGCAGGTTTCAGTTTAAGCGGACTCTGCTGTATAAAGAATCCTTGACAGTTCACCTGGTTCCGTGAGACAGTAAGAGGCAAACTTGTCCATGGTCGCCAGTTCCGGGATCCACTTGCTCCGAAGCTCATCGCTGCCAAACTCATCCACCATCCAGGCACACATGCTGAGAGATGTGAGAAACAAACATTGATTGTCAGTTTTTTACATCCCCTTTGACACAATTCCGGTCATTTAGAAGGTGAGCTGCTTCAGCTCTGCCTATCACAGCCAACACGGGATGAGTGGGATACAGAATCCCAGCAGACAGATCTATACAGTTTAACATGACACGAACAGCTCAAATTCGTTGGGACCGGCCTCGGTAGTTCGAGGGAACCATAGTTCGAAGGATATCTTACAAAGATAAAGAAGGAAAAAAAAACGGGAGCGCAGGCACAGTTCGACAGACACATGATTTCGAGTCTTCTGTGTTCAAACTATCCATATGATACTGTATACAGTTACAAGATGGAGTCAAAACTGTTCAAGATGGCCATCCACTGTCAAAAAAAAAAAAGGTTGACATCTAAGGAAGTGTTATCATAATATTGGGAAACTGGAAGGGAGGAAGTGGGAAGTGGCAGTTGGGACAAGCCATTGTCTTAAACTTTTAGAGCAGGTTTGATTGTACTATATAACATAACTCCCTCACACAAGAGCCAAACTCATGTCTTTTTTGTGTGCAATGGTAAAGAATCTAGAATTAATCATTACATCACAGTTACCGGTGACATGCAGAGAAATGCCAGTTTGAAAAAAAAATAGACAATGACTAATACGATGACATCAAAGAACAGGACCTTTGATCTTAAATATTGTGAGGTGCATGATGTACTATTATCATCTGAACCTTGTGAAATCATCTGGCCAAGAAGCGTAATAATATTGTGCTTTGACTTTTGGGATTCAGTTATCAGCAGTTAACTATACAGAAATAAAAACTATTATAAATACACTATTTAAAGCATTTCAGACACCAGATAACTACCATGAGCTGTCCCGCCAAGAACAAGTGATTATCTTCAGACTAAGGACACAACACACAAGACTGAGACAACATATGTACAAATGTTTTAAACTAGTACAATCACCAAAATGCCAGTGTGGAGAGGCGGACCAAACTGTTGAACACATCC